ACAAGCCAATAGATTGTTAAATGCCATATTATAATTAACTCTAATTGTCAAAGGTTGCTTAATCACAAGATTTGCTGCTAATTTTAATATTAAGGGATGGGGAGTCAAAATGTCATTCTCATCTAGTATTTGTTTGGGCAAACAAATTATAATTAATGACAAGAAAATCCAAGAAGGGTCTTTTGGCTTTTGTGGTTTTGAGTTAAGGAGTTTGCTCATGTGTTTCTTGTTTGTCCAATGTTTTTTCGCTTCATACGTACATATTCGTTGTTTTTTGGTCGAGTTTTCCTAAGAAAAATAATTAAATACATATATTTTATTTGTCTCTTCATCTTCTATGTCTATCTTCAATTTAAAAAAATTAGAATAAATTTTTTGTCCAAGAGTATTATAAATTAATATTTTTTAATTAATTTGGTTCCAATAATCCTACCTAGCTAAAAGGGGAGAAATGGTCTCTTCATCAACTGATTTACTTGTGCATCGTGTATACTTGCCTCCAAGTACCCATTACTACTTGAGTGGCTATATTTTTCATACTACTTCGTGTCATTATTATATGTATCTCGCAAAACACAACCAACAACACCCAAAGCAGCTACAAGATAGAAAAATATATGTGATAAAATTGGTGAGTTTTTTTTCTTAATGTATGCTCCATATTATCATTATGTACCCAATCCCCCTCCTTTCTACATAAAGGATTATATTTTATATCATTACATTATCTCTATTTACACCATTCTCTCTACCGAGAAGGATGAAGATGCAATTTAATAAACCATGTTATAGGAAGGAAAATTATTAGTCATTAGGTAATGCATTCAAATTTTTTTTTTTTACGTAAATGAAAAATATAAATATTAAAAGATTGTTTGGTAAAACTAGTTGATTTGATAGTTTTTAGTTATTTGAGTAGCTTTTTTCATAAAATACTAAAAATTACAGGGTTTGATCTTTTATAAATCGCTACTTTAAACTAATTTAAACGTTATGTTATCGAATATTATAAAAAATGTGTTTAGATCAAAACGTTAAAAACTACTTAAAAAGTATAATTGCTAAATACAATATAAATCAACCATAAAAGAAGATGGTGCACATATAAAAAATATATATTTAAAAAAAAATGAATAAGAATGATAAATTACATGAGTCATAACTCGTGAGAAACAGTGAGGAAGGTATAAGTTGATTAATAGGTGGTTGAAAGCATACGTCTGAATTAATTCTACGGGCGGAATAAAGGGAAGCAAAAGGTTAATAAAGACGAAGAGAGCTTATTAATTAGGTGTGAGGGGTCATCACTCACCCTAGTTAAAAGGTGAATTTATTATTCCACATGCATTGTGAGACCTATTCCTGTACTACTGCTATACAAGATTATCTAAATATATATATTTTTTTTCATTTTTTTAAAATTAGATTATATCAAAAGCTTTAATCTAATCCTATTTGTGTGCCTTATTTGAGAAAATATCATATTTTACAATGATTAATTGTATTTGTGGTATCTAAAAATTTTTTTTTTTAATGAATCTAATAACTTCTGTATAAATAAGTGCATTAATTAGCTGGAGTTTCTCACTAATTTTTATTTACTTTTTTCATTACTATAATCTTTATATTTGATATGATTTATTAAGTAAAATAGTTCATTTTAATTTTTTAGATATAGCAAATGCTGAATATATATATATAAAGGAGGGTATTAGAGCCAAATAATCAGATTAGGCATGGCTGAATCACCCCAATCAAGTCAAAGGATCATCAAATAAAATATTGCACTAGTACATTGTTTAAGGATCTCATATTTGAGTGGTGTAAAATGTACCAGTACACTGTTTTATTAGGCTAAATGGACACGACAAATTGGCAGTGGACGAAAACGATTAATGGGTTGGAATTGGAAAGGTGAGATTTTGAAAATCCTCATTTTACACGTATTTATTTATTGGCACAATAATGATTTACTTTGTAAAATAAGAGAAAAAGAAAAACAAATCTGCACCATTTATTTCCTTTTTGTTGTTCCTTTTCCCTTTCAGATTTTTAGATTTTCACCATTCATTATACACACCTACTCTCAATTAGTATACGTTGGTCTAATTATATAAGTTTGAGGTTTTCAATTTGTTAAATAAAGTATTTATTAAGTCTAATTTTTTGAATTGAAGTTTTTTATGGATTAAAGTAAAAGTTGAGGATTATATATTTTTTCATAAAAAGAATAAGGGTAACTTATATATTGATAAGAAAAAGATTTAAATTGAGCAAGCCAAAGTCCGAACAGCGCAAAAGACTAGTCAAATCCAAACAGTATTTAATTTCATTTAAACAAGTGTAATCCTCAATGTAACATTCAGTTAAATAGAGTCATTAAAAGGTCGAAAGTCATTGAAAGGTCGAGATTCTTGTTCGGTATTTATGACTAAGATTTTTACCATAAAGGTTATTTAATCAGTTATAATTTAAATTGTATTATAAATAAGTGTACGAGAACATAGAAAAAATTATTTGATTTTCAGATTAATATTAACAAACACATCTCTTGAGCATTTTCTGAATTTACTCTCATCATTTATTACGTATATTTTTCTTTTTACAAATTTATATGAGTTCATTTAGACAATGATCAAGTGGAATCGTGAGTAGCACAACTACTAATTTCACAACTACAATTAATTTAGTTTTTTAGTTCAATGTTGCTCTCCACACTCTAAATTGTCTAGTGAAGATAAAGCAAGTTGAGCATTTTAGTCCAATCAAAAGCTATTTGTAGTCAATTTTTTACTTTCACCCATTTGGTTGAACACACAAGTTGAAGTAGGTAATATATTATCTACATGACTTTAGATTGAAGATTAACCAAATATATTCACATCTATTCTCATTATAACAATCTAAGTTAGGGTTGAAAATGATGTTTTATCACTTGTCTCTTCCTCTCAACTGTATAATTTGTAAATGATGTCTTAGTTAATCTTTTAATTTGTAATTTGTAATTTATGCCCTTTCACGTGGAAATGCAATGCTATACCGTCTACTGCAATATCTCTCTTTAAAAAAGTTATAGTTTTTTTTTTTTTTTTTTTTTTTTTTTGCAATGCTATAACCGTCTACTGCAATACTACTCTTTAGAAAAGTTATAGGTTTTTTTTTTTTTTTTGTTTTTTTTTTATTTTTTTTTTTTTTTTTTTTTTTTTTACAAATAGTACTTGGACTTTCCGCAATAATTTCATATGGGCTTCAAGGTGGGCCATAATAAAAGTGATTTAGGTCCATCCATTACGAATAATATTGATGTTGCACAGGCTTTTGAGCATTATCAAACCCAAAAACTTACAAACATTTTTTTATTTGTCAGGAAGCCTTAACAATCATAAATTTCTTTTAACTCAGTATATTTTATTTTTAATTTATTATTAGAATTTGATTTCTAGAGTTAGCACTCATATATATATTTTTTAAGTTTGCTTAAAGATTAAACTTAAATTTATATCTAAGTTTAAATTTGCTTGGAGAGAGACTTGATGTTAATGTATATAAATTAATCGAAAATATCCTAATTAATTAAATGAAAGTAATTAAAGGCTTGACTAGTGAGCTACTAATTTCCATGATAAAAAAAATTAGTTTATAATTTGGTGGGATTATTAGGAATTACTGGAATGATACTAATATTCCCTAGTTGACACTAATTGCAAAGAAAAGGCAATTTTTTTTTTTTGTTGATGTTGGAATTTGGTTTCTTTCATCATCAAATATTAGATTCGGTTGTAAATATTTAAAAGCTACCAAAACTCCAGTTGTAGAATATTATGGAATTAGATAAGCTACCAGAAAAATAATTTGGATTCCAAATTCCCATTACAAAAAAAAATATTAAGGATTCGTCAACCTTGTTTCCAAACATAACCTCTGAATTATGTCCTAAAACACGTAAGCTAATTCCGCCCATTATTTCGGATATTTATGCGCAAAAAATTAAAGTTACCGAAGGAGGAGAAAGAGAAAGAGAAAGAGAAAGAGAATCGTCAAACCAACCTTATAAAACTGGACCAGTGGACCAGCAAATAAAATAAAAATTCCATTTCCTCGAAAAAAGGAAAAATAAAAGGACAATTACTGTAATTAAACGGATATATAAAGGCAAATAAAACCAGGAAGAAATTACGTAACAATACATAATGACCTGAAGAAGTTCCTAGGCGATTCCGTCACGTCACGATGAAACCAAACCAACGGAGGAAATAGATACTGCAGTTAAGGGTTAGACGAGGAATTATAGACAAAACTAAAGGGCATATTCGTAATAGGATTAGTGCATTTACTCGCATAGTAACCAGCAACGTTCCCTAGGCAAAAGCCGGCTCATTACATTACAACACAACACATTTTCTTTCTTTCACTTTCTCTCTTGTTTGTAATTTTTCGCTTTTTAAAATTTTCCAGTTTCTATTGGTACTGATAATTATTTATTTATTTGTTTTTTCGATCCTCTTCTTTAATTTCTCTCTCTACACTGTCCTCCTTGTGTTGTAGGATTCCCACCTATTTCTCCAAACACAAAGCACTAAAGAGAGAAAGTGAAGTTTTAGAGAGAGAAAAACCTAAACACAAAGTTCATAGAGAGAGAAACACATAAATCCGCCGGAAATGCTATTCCTCTCCGGCGTTTTCATTTCTACGGCGACAAGCTTTGCAAATGCAGTGCTGAACAGATAGAAACAGAACACGCACAGAGAGAGAATATATGCAGTGCTGAATCAGATAGAAACAGAAGATCACGCACGAAGAGAGAGAATAATATATAATATATATATATATTATATATATAGATATATGAGATGAGAGAGAGAGAAGAGAGAGAGAGAAGAGAGATTGGTGGTGGTAGAAACGGAACCAAGAGGCCAGAAGAGTGAGGGTATTAATGAACCAAAAATGCGTGAAGGACGTTCTTATTGATGATACCAAGCACGTCGTTTCAGTGCTGAAGGAGAGAGAGAGAGAGAGAGAGAGATTGGGTGGGTGGTAGAAACGGAACCAGAGGCCAGAAGGAGGAGGGTATTTTATGAGCCAAAAATGCGTGAGGGACTTCTTATTGATGAACCAAGCCACGTCGTTTCAAGTGCTAAGAAGAAGAAATCAGGAGAGGAAGATAAGGTAGATAAGGTTCCTGTTCTAGTGGCAGACAAAGATAACTCGAGACCGGTTCCACTTGTGGTTTCGGTTCCGCCGCAACCTATTGTTGTTAATCGTGCCCGATCCCAGTCCGCCACTCGTAGAGTCACGCCCACTAATACAACCGCTACTGCTGCAGGAGTTGATACTAGCAGCGCCGGGGGTTCCACTATTGTGGAGAAGCTTCTGCCCAACGGCGATCTCTACATCGGGTCATTTTCGGGAAACGCGCCGCACGGATCGGGGAAGTACCTCTGGACTGACGGCTGCATGTATGAAGGAGAGTGGCGCAGGGGAAAAGCATCGGGAAAAGGGAAGTTCTCTTGGCCTTCAGGTGCTACCTTTGAGGGTGAATTTAAGTCCGGTCGGATGGAAGGGTTTGGTACATTTATCGGATCCGATGGTGACACCTATCGAGGCTCCTGGAACGCCGATCGCAAACACGGGTATGGTCAAAAACGGTACGCGAACGGAGATTTCTACGAAGGAACGTGGAAGAAGAATCTCCAAGATGGGAAAGGAAGATATGTTTGGAAAAATGGGAATGTCTATGATGGTGAATGGAAAAATGGCGTCATCTCAGGGAGAGGGGTTTTGATGTGGGCAAATGGGAATCGCTACGATGGACAATGGGAAAATGGAGTACCAAAGGGAAATGGCATTTTTACTTGGCCAGATGGGAGTTGTTACGTCGGCACCTGGAACAGTAATAAAGATATAATGGCTCAAGAATTGAACGGGACTTTTTATCCTGGAAATGGTAAGGAGCAGTGCATGAAAGGGAGCGAAGCTGATTTGGTCTTGCCTGCTGCGGCGGGGACGAGAAAGAGGTCGTCGGTGGATGGGGCTAGAGGGAGTAACATGAATTTTCCGAGGATATGTATATGGGAGAGTGATGGTGAGGCTGGAGATATTACTTGTGATATTATTGATAATGTAGAGGCTTCTCTGATTTACAGGGAGGGGTTGGATCGGGATGGGTTTAGGCAGTTTAGGAGAGGGCCATGTTGTTTTAATGGCGGAGAGGTGAAAAAGCCTGGAGAGACAATTTCTAAAGGGCATAAGAATTACGATTTGATGCTTAATCTGCAATTGGGCATCCGGTAATTATTTTTTTTTTCAATTAGCTTTTATGATATGAGTTTCTGGGTTCATTTCTGAAAGTGGGAATTTCCGTTTTGATTTTGTTTTTATGTGCGTTCTTGTACTCCGTTTTGATTTGTGTGGTGTTTCCCTATTCAGATATTCTGTCGGAAAGCACGCCCAGATTGTGAGGGACCTGAAGCCAACTGATTTTGATCCTAAGGAGAAGTTTTGGACGAGGTTTCCACCCGAAGGATCAAAGATAACTCCTCCACATCAATCAGTAGAGTTTCGTTGGAAGGATTATTGTCCGATGGTTTTTAGGTACTGGTTATGTTATATTTATTTTTGCATATTCAATTTGTCCTATATTTTTGTATGGGTTCAAGTTTTGAGGTAATATGTTTGATTTTCATTTGGTGTGCCGGACCTGCTGGTATAGATTGGACTTTTTTTTATTTCTTCTGTTTCGTTATCTTTTGTGTTATGGCGGTCATCTGATGCTATTTCTGTCCCCTCTTCTTTCCTGCTTTGCTGCATTAGACATTTGAGGGAGCTGTTCCAAGTGGATACTGCTGATTACATGTTAGCTATTTGTGGAAATGATGCCCTTAGAGAACTGTCTTCTCCTGGGAAGAGTGGAAGTTTCTTTTACCTTACTCAGGATGACAGATTTATGATCAAGACAGTGAAGAAATCAGAAGTCAAGGTTAGTTGCCCACTTGGTTGACTTCTGTTTTATTAAATTTAAAGTTCGTGGAGGGCATGCATATTTCAATATTTGCATAACTGGCAATTGGTCTAATGCTTGTGTTTTAGCTTGCCCTCATTCAAATAAGAATTTTGAAATTACATTGGTTCTGAAGTTTTGGTTGCCTGTATTTAGGTGCTTATTAGGATGCTTCCCAGTTATTACCAACATGTCTGCCGGTATGAGAATTCACTAGTGACAAAATTCTTTGGTGTACATTGTGTTAAGCCAATTGGAGGGCAGAAGGTATGTGGTGGGAAATGTTTAGTTTCTACTATCATGTCGCTTGTTATTGCAATTTTATTCACGTCTGACAACATGCTATTTTTCAAACTCAGACCCGTTTCATTGTGATGGGCAATTTGTTCTGCTCTGAGTATAGAATACATAGGAGATTTGACCTTAAGGGGTCCTCCCATGGTCGCACAACAGATAAGCCTGAGGGTGAGATTGATGAAACCACAACTCTTAAGGACCTAGATCTTAATTTTGTGTTTCGTCTCCAACGGAATTGGTACCAGGAGCTTATCAAGTAAGTGACAGAATTTGAATTGTTTTTACCTTGTCAGCATTTGTCTGCCCTGACTTCTGCGTTTGGTTTTCCCTTATTTCTAATAACATGCATGTTAATATTGTGCAGGCAAATTAATCGGGATTGTGAATTTTTAGAAGCCGAGAGAATTATGGATTACAGTCTTTTGGTTGGCCTTCACTTCCGAGATGATAACACTTATGACAAAATGGGTTTGTCACCGTTTGTTTTGCGCTCTGGTAATTAGATGATCATCGGTAATAATTTCTTTGGCTAAGTTTTTCGTAGCAATATGCTTACTGATTAAATCCATGGGCTAAGCAGGAAGTAAGGATTCCTATCAAAATGAGAAGTTCATGCGTGGCTGCCGCTTTCTCGAGGCAGAGCTACAAGACAGAGATCGGATCTTATCTGGCCGGTACATTTCTTGTACATTCTGGTTTTAGTTAATTAGTTACTGTTGCACCAATGTTAGTTAAAATGTGTTTCAAAGAAAAGGGGGCTTCTACTCAATTAGTCATTGACGCATGTATATTCATGTGACTAGGGATTGCATACACATGTGGCTGAGTGTTTGTTCTGGCATTGAAAGTGGCTAATAATTTCTGTCATTCAATTTATCATTATCAACAGAATAATTGAAAGTGGCTTATGTTGTGTTGCAATATTTGTGGGGTTTGTTCTGTAGACAACAGTAGTTTGTGGGGCTCATACTGGGTGGTGGTCCTATGCATTCCTAGATAAGAGCCGAGTCTTGTACTTAATACTTTCTATTTTGGCTGAGTTTCTCTTAGTTAACTTTGTTGTTATATTATCGGAGGGCAATACAATGTTGCTTTATTGTGATTTTGTGCAGATGGGAGAGTATGATAATATTCACTAATTATTATTTATTCCCCTTGTATTTATACATGATGGAAAATGATGCAGACAAAATAGTAGTTTTCGGGGAATGAATGTTGAATTGATTTCATGCATATCCAATTAGAGTTTTGACCATTTGTCTATGAATGTGTATCGATACTGAGTTGAATTAAAAATGTGTTGTATGCAGGAAACCTCTGATAAGGCTGGGAGCAAACATGCCAGCAAGAGCAGAACGAATGGCAAGAAGGAGTGATTTTGATCAGTACACCCCTGGTGGGATTAGCCATTTAACCCCCTCAAGAAATGGTGAGATCTATGAGGTGGTCCTTTATTTTGGGATCATTGATATCTTGCAAGACTACGATATTAGCAAGAAGTTAGAGCATGCCTATAAATCCTTACAAGCCGATCCTACGTCCATCTCAGCAGTGGATCCAAAACACTACTCAAAGAGATTCAGAGATTTCATTGGTAGAATATTTATAGAAGACAGGTAGCAATGAGAAAAAAACCACGAGTAAAAACTGGTCTGGTACAAGAAACTGATTTTGCTTGAATCTGAATGCACTGCACCACCCTTCAGGGGCAGAAAGTGATCAGAGCAAATAATTTGAGAGATATGGACCAAGCCACACTGCAGATGCTGCGGTAGGAGAGCTCGGCATCAGGTTTTTCGGCTGAATTTTGAAGATCAGCCATATGAATGAAGGGGAAAGCACTTGTACATTGGAGGATGAATGGAAGAGGGAAACGGGGATTGTGATTTCCTTCTTTATTATTATTTTTTTATATTTTCTTAATTATATTTTTGGAAATATATATATTTTTTTTCTTGTGGTAACCAAGGGGGTTGTTAATTGTGAAGATTTGAAAGATAGGTATAGGGAACGGGGAAAATGTTTCCCAGAGAGAAGATTCAAAAATGGGGGGCAGAAGGAGAAGACTTGGAATAAGAAAAGTGTACAGCGTAATAGAAAAGAGATGGATAGTTTATGGAATTTCGTGAATATATTTTTGTGAAACTTTCAAAAAAAAAAAAAAAGAAAAAAGAAAAATATATTTTTGTGAAACTTTCAAAAAAAAAAAAAAAAGAAAAAGAAAAAAGAAAAAGAACAGAAATGTATTGAATGAAATAACCTTATCATGACGAGAGGGAGAATACCCCAATTGGGATCTCTCTCTCTCTAAAAAAAAAAAAAAAGAAAAAAGAAAAAAGAAAAAGAACAGAAATGTTTGAATGAATAACCTTATCATGAGAGAGGGAGAATACCCCATGGGATCTCTCTCTCTCTCTCTCTCTCTCTCTCTCTCTCTCTCTGTTCTTTTTAACTGTTGTATATAAATGGTCACCCTCTGTTGTATAGAAAATGGGTCATTGCTTTGCTTTTTGCAGTGAAAGGGAGGCACTGGGCAGCAAGAGTTTAACATCAAAAGCAGAGAAAGTATGAGAAAGATGCGCTGCTGTTTCTTCTTCTTGTTTGCTTTGTTTACTCTCTTTTATTTCTTTCTTTTCTTTAACTTCTTTCTCGAAAAGAGCATTCAAAATAAAATAAATATCTTACATTAACTACTGAGACGAGGAATTCGTTTTCTAACGCAAAATCCAATCCTCTTGGTGAAGTTATAATATGTGGAGATATTGGGAGTGGTGCGGAGTTTATTTTGTATTTTTAACAGCAGAGGTCAAAGTCGTTGGAGATAGAGAGTTAATTTTTGACCAAGTGGTGGTGATGGCTCTCGCTTTTGGGAGCTTCTATTGTCTGGTTGCTCAGACCCAAAGCACGGGTCTGTGTCACTGTGATATTTGGGGGCCATTTGCCTTGCCTAGGATCGCTCGTTGATTATGACTTTCACACACTAATCGTTTTCCTATTTGTTTTTTCTTTTATCTAGTGTGCTTAATTTCTCTAACTGCAACCATTTTTTTCAACTTGTTGAAAAGAACCAAACCTCATATTTACGGCCATGTGATAGTAAAAATTTTAAATAATTTATTGCATGAAAACTATTTTTATGATGCAGACGTTTGATTATTGAAATTCACCATTTTTATAAAAAAATTATTTCTAATAAGAAAATAAATGTAGTTTAATTTTTTTAAAAGCGAGAGAATAGAAATTGGATTTACCAATTCAGCTAATTGAGAAAGTAAAATTCTCTAAGCCCCAAAAATTTTAATGCACAGCAAATAGTTGAATGTTATGATTTTGTTAGTTGGCTGAATTTGGTAATTTTGACAGCCAACTTTTGTTAGGCAATGAGTCGATAAATGTTGTCTCTTTTGTTCTCAAAATTCAAAAAGCTTATCACGTGTGGTGTGTCTCCCAATTTGAGGGTTAAACACAAATACTACTCACGCTTATTTAATTTAAGAACTGAACTCGATTTGTTCTCTCAACTTATTTAGCAAAGTAAAAAATATTATATACTTCGATTGGTTTAAAAAAGTAGTTTACTTTCTATTTTCACACGTTGAGAAATTAGTAATTAATATGGTTAAAGGACAATTTAATGCATATAACTTTTCTATTATGTCCATCTCGAATAACACATTAACAATTATTATATTAGAATAATAAGAGTATAATAGACAATTCAAAAATTAACTATAATGCAAAAAAAAGAAAGTATACTATATTTTGGGACAAACTAAAAAGAAAAGATAAATTTTCTTTTTTGAACAGAAGAAGCATGTCTTTTTAGATCAATTTATTCCCTAAACTTATTTAAAATGATTGAAAATATTAAATTTGACATTTTAAATCAATTAATCCCTGAACTTATTTTGATTTTTATAAATTAATGAATTAATTCAATTTAACATGACTGACTCTTATCCTTTCTTATTTTGCACTAAAAATATCTAGAATAATTTTTTCTAACACTTTTTAATAAAAGCTTAAAATCCATAAAAATATCATTTCTTGCAACGCAATAAATTTACAAATTATGTAATATAACTTTAATTTGTTCAATATAAGAAATACATGGTTTACATATGCAATAACCTATGGCTGCAAACAAGCGGAGCTTTGGTGAGCTCGAGGTTGACTCGGGCTTAACTCGATAATCATAAACGAGCTGAGTTCAAGCTTGTGCTCGATTTGGGCTTGACTCGATTACCATAAACGAGTCAAGCTCGAGCTCAAAATCTATTAATCAAAACATGTTGTTTTAATGTAGGTTTTAATCTCGTCATCTTCACTCAATTCAATAAAGTTAGCTTGTGAGCTCAATTGAAAGTTCGGTTTGAAAAAGCCGGTTCGTGAGCTAATAAGCCAAGTTCGAGCTTAGCTCACTTATTAAACAAGCTCAATAGCTCGACTCGACAAACATATTGAATAAATTTTTACCAAATTGAGCCTGAAGCAATTCACGAATGACTTATTTCATTTACATCCCATAATAACCCAGTAATAAAAATCAATTTTAAAATATTCAAGTTAATACATATTTATGAACTTAAAATCATCTATCAAGCTAAGAGGGATACAATATATTTCATATATAATTTCCTTTTATTTCATATTTAATTAATTTTTCAATAAATTATACTATCTGACCTCAATTATAATTTTAATAAATGTTTATACAATTAAGGGCGGAATTAGAATTTAGAATGAATGGGAGCAAACTAATATAAAAATTAATTAAATGAATATTGCACAGAGATGGAGTGAGCAAAATAATTGAAAATGTGTTAAAAGATTTTGTTTAACTAAGGTTTGAACTTTGGCCTTAGTAAGGCAAATATTTTAAACAGGATGGGGGCAATTGGCTCATTTCTCCAACACAGACCCCGCCCTCTGATACAATGATTCTCACAGAACAAAATTATTTATCATTTTGAAGAGATTAACGGCTACTTTATTCTTATCTCTATTAAACATACCAATTATGTTTTACAAATTTAAAAAAAAAAAAATTCATTTTGTCACTCTCTTTCTCTCTTTTAATTTTAGTAGTAAATTAATAAAGAGCTAATAATTAAGATCGGAGTAATTAGATGAGATAAAATGTAATTATTCAAATAAAAAGAATTTGATTAAAATTTAGATCATTTAGTTACTTTTTTTAATTAATATGTAAACCCCTTAGTTGGAGTATTGTTATTATTAACTTTTTTTAGTCAAAAATAAGTTTGTGTTTGAAAAAATTTATTAAAAATATTATAGGACAGAACTGAATAATTGGATTACCAAATTACCAACTCAACAATTAATACACAATTGATCAGACATTAACCAATGTCATTGAACAAGGGTTGGTGAAAAATTTATGACCTCTGAAAATTAGAAAGAAAAGGAGAGAGAGAGGGCGAGGGGATTTTAATTCTTGAATTTTCTGAACATTTTTCCCATCAACCAAACAGCCAAAGAAGAAGGACTATGATTTGAATGTGGGTGCACATTTCTCAAAACTGACGTGTAAATAGGGGTAGCACAAGTAGACCTGTCATATATCTGAGATGGGGTATATATTGCTACTTTTGCTAAGATAGGTCTTTGAGGCCTTTCCCATTGGCCTTTAAAGAATATAAATGTCAAAACCTAATTTACTGAAACCAAATTCAAATCCCCTAAAAGAATTATTTTATTCTGTTCTTTTTATGTGTGTGGTTTTATGCAGGAGCCATTATTATTGGTCGGAAGGAATAATGTTAATTTTGACTCTCTATTTTTTTGAATATAATTAAAATTTTAAATTAATTTTAATATGAATTTCAATTGAAAGATCAATTCATTTCTTTTTTTTTGACTGATCAATACATGTAAGAGATAAATAATAAATAAAAATAAGTGATCTTTCTTTCTTTTTTAACTCAAATGTTTTATTAATTTTCCCTTAATCCCCATTTTTTTTTTTTTAGAAATAAGATTGTATTTACGAAGTTCTTTTCTGAACTCCAAGTCAGTAATTAATATAGTTAGGGGAAAGATATAAATAAGTTTCTATTTAGGAGTGCACCGCCAAATATCAATTTAATTCCTATAATTATTGAAGCTAAAAAGAAAATAATGAAAATTGTATTCTGTTTTGTGTTTCTTAACTCACACACAGTTGCTGTCTTAGCACTTAGCAGTCATGATTAGTTGTTTCACGTCTGCACTCTTACGCGTAAATTTAATAATAATATTATAATCCATATTGATCCAATTTTTTTTTTTAATTAATACTTATGATGATCTTGAATTTGTCACTCCTATTATTTATGTGATTTTGAGTAATATCTTGTTCTATTTGCATGGCTGGAATGCCTTAGCAAATGGCAGTTGGTCTTGTGAGGACAATATCGTTTTGTTGAAGATTGAAATTTATTAAGAAAACTTTAAAAAGTTCAAAAAAATTTTTGATTAAGAAAAATAATACGCAATAAAATATTATTTTAATTAGAGGATAAAGGAATGCAATTTTTTAAGAAAACTTAAAAAGTTCAAAAAAAAATTTTTGATTAAGAAAAATAATACGCAATAAAATATATTTTTAATTAGAGGATAAAGGAATGCAATTTTTTTATATATTATATAATATATATATATATAATATATAATATAGATGATGTGTTAAAAATTTAATAAAATCGGTTTTGTAGCATGTATTATAAATGGGCGAGTTTATATAGATGATGTTTTAAAATTAATAAAATGGTTTTGTAGCATGTATTATAAATGGCGAGATGATGTAGTTGGATATAAATAACTCGTTAAAGAACACGTGTGGGCATTTATTTATATTAATGCATAGTTGAAAATTGAAAGAAATAAATAGTCTTACCGACGAATATGGTCCATTCATGGCTTAAATATTATTGTGATAATAGGAAAAAATTTACCTCACTGTGTCGTGGTATAATTGTCCAAACAACCTCAATATTTTGGGTTGTAACTATCTTTTATTAAGTTATCTCGATTGGTAACTGGTAGTTTTCAAAATTTAAGGAGTAAAAACAGTTTGCTACGCTATTTAACTGGGAACTTTTGGATTATATTAAGTAATTAAAGGTTTTAAATCATGAATACGTGTAGCAGCGTAGTTACCGACAATGACA